TTAGTTCCCCGTCGTGTTCTGATTTTAATGCCCATTACATTAGCAACTGCTGTTGCCGCACAGTAAATCAGCATATGCAAATATTCCAATGTATGGGCTTCCACGATATAATTGGGTAGCACTTCAGTATTCACAATTTGTAACAGCGCTCCTAGTTTCTTCGAAGAGTTTATTTTTGGTAGCGGTGGTCTGCTAAGTGGGTTTGTTCCACTAAACTCTTGTACGGCACGTGCCATCTCGTTTACCAGATTATCGTGTAACTCGTTATTCTCCTGTTGTATATTATCAGGTGGAGTTTCTTGGATGAGAAGCTCAGGAATCTCCTCATTAATGATTTCATTAGGGACTTGGTCTACAACTTGCTCTAGGTTATGGATCTCCCGTTCGACTTCGCTTTTGATCATGTCGCGTCTATTCTCTGGGATAAGATTGTTTCTGATAATTACCCGGTATTGGTCTGCTACTCTTTGTTTAGATACTTGGATTTCTGGGTACTCCTTGCAAAATTCGGCATAAAGTTGTTGTCGATAGCCGATCGTTTCTTGACGAGGTTTGTCACCTTATAATAAAAGCGCAAAATGTTCTCGTTTATAGACACAGTCCATTTCATGCGCTGCCTCGGTCGTCCCGCTTGAGTGAGCGCCGGCTGATGTTCCAGCGCAGCACCTTCAGCGAGTAGAGCTCTTGCTGTTGTTTGGCTCACTGGTGGTTCTTCTTGTGGTTCTTGTTGTTGTTGTTGGGCTGTAGCTGTTTGTATGACAGGGGCCCGCCTCCTCAACACCCTGCCACCGACGTCCCGCATGCTGTCACGTCCAGCGTCGGCTCCAGACGTGCCCTGGCGATCCCCAGGCAGCGACCCTAAACATAAATCATCATTATTCACCATTTTCATGGGTTTGCATTTTATACCTACTGCCAGGTGTCAGTTTATGTTCCACGACAGGTATTCCTGTTACCCTCTGGGTATCGGTTCTAAGAATACCCAGAAAGCATCCCCCATTCGCAGGGGCCGCGCCTGATAGAAGAACTGATAAAAACTCCCACAGGTTATTATTATTATTATCCCAGATTTAGCCATACGGCTCACACTCCTCTAAGGGAAAATTCACTCATCCAGATACCTACGGTATCAAAAGGATTGAGCTCTGGTGGGACTCTTTCCGTGTTATCGAGCCCTAGGTGACTTGGTATGTCGGAGTATCTCCCAGAAATTTTCGTACACATCTGGAGGTCGCGAGGAGTACAGCTTTCTGCATGGCCTTATAAAGATGTTCATTTAGACCCAGCTGTTTTATGTTTACTAGGAGGTTTTTGGGAATAACACCAGTAGTAGATAGAACAATAGGTACTGTCTCGGTACTTTCCATTCTCATTGTCTCTTGATTTGTATTTCCAGATCCCTATACTTGGCGATCTTTTCGTTGTATTTAACAAGCAAATTGTTAGTGTTAGGTATCGCCACATCAATAAGTGTTGTTTGCCTGGTAATTTTATTCACTAGTATGAGATCCGGTCTATTATGGGCCACTGGTTGGTCTGTGAGCACAGTGCGGTCCCAGTATAGCTTGTAGTTGTCATTTTCAAGCATTCTGTCAGGGACATATTGATAATAAGGAAGATGGTCGGTTTGGAGAAGTCCCAGTTTGTCAGCTAGTTCTTGGTGGATAATCTTTCCTACTGAGTCATGGCGTTCTTTATAATCAGTGCCGACAAATGCCTGGCAGCCACCGGTAAGATGTTGGATGGTTTCTTGGGCTTGGCATCCATATCGGCATTTGTCGTTTTGGACTTGAGGATCTTTAACAATATATTTCAGGTAATTTTTAGTTGGAATAACCTGATCCTGAATGGCAAGTAGGAAACCCTCAGTCTCGGGAAACATCTTTCCTGATGTCAACCAATAGTTCGACGCTGTATTGTCGACATATTCTTGGTTGATCTCATTGAGATGTCGCCCATGCAGAGGTTTACTCATCCAGGTGCGCATTTTTTCTTGCTTAGTCAGATGGTTTGTGCGCATTTCTTGTTCCCTCAGTTTAAGCGGCGTTGTGTCATCTACTGCGCAAATTGCTCGATGTAAAGTAGATGTCTCAGCCTGTACCTGAAAATAAGATCTTAAATTAGCAATTTGTTTATCTAATTGCTCACCTATATCCATAAGTCCTCTTCCTCCTTGATACCGCGGTAATGTTGTTCTCTCTACTGCACTGCGTGGATGATGTTTTTGCGCCTTTGTGAGAAGTGTTCTTACTTTCCGCTGAAGACCCTCTGTATCCGTTTTTGACCACTTTATAATACCAAATGAGTAGCTCAGCGCGGAACAGGCGTACGTATTTAATGCCTTAAACAAATTTTTACTATTAAGATATGACCGATTTAGTTGTCTATTCTTCGCACGAACTCCGAAGTTAGTTCAGTTTTCATCTGTTTATGGTCAATTTTCCGCGCCTGTTTTACTCCGAGATATTTGTAAATATCATTTTCACCCATTGCCTCGATGTTTTGGCCATCTTGCATATCGAAACCTCCGGCTGAACCTTTCCTCTGACTATATTAAGTATACGGCACTTGTCTAGTCCAAAGTGCATACTGATATCATTTGAGAAAGTTTCTACAGTTTTTAGCATCTGATCTAAGTGATTTCGAGTGGAAGCCATTAGTTTCAAATCATCCATATACAACAGATGATTAAGCTTCGCCACAACAGTGTTGTTATTTCTGTTATGTTATAGCGATATCTTCTTCTTATTATTATTATTATTATTATTATTATTATTATTATTGCTTCCTCTGACAACATTTACTCCGATAGAGATTCGACAACAAATAAAAATTCTAAGTCCTAAGAAAGTTCCTGACTATGATTTGATAATAGGAGAATTACTTTAGAAGCTATCGAGAAAAGCAGTCGTGTTATTCACAATAATATACAACAGCATACTACGTCTTCGATACTTTCCAAAACAATGAAAATTTGCTCAAATTACTATGATTCCGAAACCTGGTAAGCCAGCAACGCAAGTAAATTCATATCGCCCTATAAGTCTACTCCCAATAATTTTGAAAGTATTAGAAAGGCTACTATTATATCAAATGGAGCAAGTTGTTTCCATAAACGAAGTTATACCACATCACAAATTCTGATTCAGACGTGAACACTCAACTATCCAACAATGCCACAGAATAGTAAATATAATTAAAACAACTCTCGAAGAGAAAAAGTTTTACGCTGGAGTGTTTCTAAATATATAGCAGGCATTTCATAGAGCATGGCATAAAGATCGCTTCTATAAACTGAAATTACATTTAAAAGACCAACTATACTTTATACTAAAATCATATCTTACTGACCGTTACTTCCAAGTCAAAATTAAAGACAGTTACTCAAATTGCCATATCATACATTCTGGCGTACCTCAGGGTAGAGTTTTGGGCCCATTTCTGTATATAATATTTATATCAGACGTTCCAACCAGCAATGATACCTTCTTAGCTACATTTGCCGATGACACGGGAATTTTGGCAATGGATATTGACCCTAATGTAGCATCACAAAAAGTACAAAATCATTTAGATCAATTACAAAACTGGCTTAAGCGGTGGAAGATCTTTTATATTCTGTTCATATATTGTAATGTATATTGTGGCAGCGAGATTGCCTCCTTAGCTATTCTATCCCAATCTCAAGAGTCTGTCATGTTTGGTTCACCTAATACATCGTATAACCGAGGTCGTATAAAGCACCTACGTTAATATTAACAAAATTATATCTTGAACTAAAAAAGAGAAAATCCACAAGGAAAACAATTCCTGTAGCTGGCTGTATACCACGTATCACAAAAAAGAGGTTAGTCTTCGTAAATGGGTATATTTATTTAAAAAACTTTTAATTAGGGTAAAAACCCTTTAAATTACATATAGTTCTTAAAGATTGTACATATTGTTGTTATTAAAATGTGATGTTAAATATTAAATTGAATTTGACTTCAGGTAACATGTTTGAAGTGAGTTCCAGTGTCCGGAGAGTAAACCTCTTCAAACGGACTACAGCTGGTAACTAACTTTTTTTTTTTAAAAAGAGAGTTAAAAGATTTTAACTTGTCTGTCTTAATGATACCAACGCTAGGTGGCTTCCATAATCTCTCCTCAAGACACATCCCACATATTTTGACGTGTGATAAAATGAATACCAATAGACAATATTACAGCATAAATAAGCGTTAAGTACACGCGTTTCTAATAACAATCCTTGCACAGGAATGTAAGGACTATTTCTATTGTCCCTTAAACCATACATGAGTAATATTGGCACTATTTGCAATTATAGCTAAAAAACTCTTTTAGTTACAATTTATAATTGTTATAACATCTTAATTTGAAACTGTCCGGATACAAGATTACCAGAAAATTGTAGTGGACATATGGAAAAAAAAAGTGAAAAATTGGATCGGTTGTCCTAGCCTTACTAAAATAGGGTGTGATTACGTCTAAAATTTATATCTACAACCCTGCTTATCGAGCAAAAAGACAAAAGAGGGAATGTAAAGGTAGTGGGGTCAAAAATATTGTTAGACAGGAAGTGCAATCTTGAAAGGCCACTTTAAAAAAAAGAAAGAGAGTATTTTCTTGTTTAAGAAATCAAATTTAGTTGGCTTATATTATTGTTTGTCCCAACTGTCACATTAAATCTTATTTATATTGAAGTTTTTTAACCATTGTGTCACATTTTAATATTATATAAAATAATATTTATATAAAGTTTCTCGTTTAAGACCCATTCTAAAAAACTATTTTTTAGCTACTGTTAATAAGTGTCGGAAAATTTAAATTTGGCGCTTTCGCATTTCCGGATATGCCCGCCATCAGAGGCCACTTTTTTGGTCTCCTTTTTATAACGATTAGATTCCCTCTTTTGTCTTTTTGCTCGATGACCCTGCTTAAAATCGACATATGCAAACCATTCATTTTTTTTTAATAAATGTAGTTTATACTTTACTTACACTGGGAAGAATCCAAAATCACAAACACGAGCTTTTTCACCTACATCCAAATTCTCCAGTTGTTTAATATCATCGTTTTCGAGATTAAAATCAAAAACGTTAATGTTTTCAATTACTCTCTTTGGATTAACACTTTTTGGTATTGGGACAATGCCCTTCTCAATAAGAAATCGTATCAAAATCTGTCCAGCAGTTTTATTGTATTTTTCTGCTAAACCTTTAACAATGGGGTGTTGTAGTAAATTTGGTAGTTCTTTCCCACTAAAAAGGAATAATAAAAAATAATTAGAAAATAATACAACTATTAAAAAAATAAATCAAGAAAATAACGACACATAAAAAATCTGAATCCATAGTCAGTAACTGTCGTTTCCTCACTACTGCTTGGTATAAAGATGGTTTATGGAATATCCTTAGGAATCTTTATTAAAGTGGTGTTTCTATCTCTATTTCCATACCATTATCCTTTAATTGGATTATTAGCTTTTGGGAAAATTTTTAATTTTAATAATAAGAAAGTTTTTCTTAATCTATTTTTAGTTCTTAAACTTAAAGCTGTCGATTGACAAGAGAGGGACCGCTTATACCAACTAGGAATTAAACTCTGCTTCTTTATTGATGTAAATGCTTACCATATCATGATACTAAACGGAAACATTTTTTTAAATATTCTTTACTAAGCTACACATTTCACTATCGCCGCTACTTGGTCGAGAACTGCTCATTCAATATATTTGCAGCTAGCCTTTAAATCTGAAGACCATGCACTATCTTCAGGTAGTGTGGACTACAAATCAAAAGTCAAAATACAAACAAGACTATGTTTGTATTTTGAGAACGATTTCCGAAGTGGAAATTGAAACGTCAATAAAATTACTTTAATCTTTAATTGTTGCTTATTCCCATTTAAATAGTAATTACTTTAAAATGCCACAAGAAAATAGCTTCAGAACAAGGTTAACAAGAATAAAAAGAAAAATCACACAATGTACTGTAAACAAAGGAGAGAAAACCGGCAAAGGAAAATGGTGCAGCATTTATGGTCAACCATAAGATTACGGACAGAGTTATAGAATGCAAATCTATAATTGGACGAATGCCATATATAAAAATAGAAAACAGTCAAGCTAATTTGACAATCATAAATATATATACATCATCTGACAATGTACCAAAAAATTATACAAAATTAAATTATTAAATAAACACCTGGAAGGTGTTGTTAACATCAATGCAAAGTAGGTAAAGAAAACCAAAATAGGTAGTAGCAGGAAAAGAAACTATTTATGACGAGACAAACTACAATGGAAGAAAATTATGCCACCCAGCAGCAGTAACAAGCAGTTGCAATGTAAGCATAAACTTTATGTTCAGAAGAAAACACAAAGTAACATTGTTGATACCTGGCAGAACAGATGGCAATCAGATCGATCACATACTTATATCCAAAAAATAGAAAACAATAATGCATGACGTCGGATTATAAAGAAAATCAAACACGGACACAGATCATTTTCTAGTTATTTAAGCAATAAAATAAATAAAAATGAAGGTAATTAACACAGGGAGAACAAGACAGAGAAAATCTAACAGAAGCAAAAAAGCACAAAAGAATACGGCGGAAACACAGCAGAAGAGGTGCTAGGACAGAGAGAAATAAAAAGAAGAAAATAATGGTTTGATACAGAATGCGAAATCAAAACCAAACAAAAAATCAATAAAAAACAATACAAAAATAGAAATAAAAAAAGAAAGTAGCAGATCAATGTTGCTTAAACAAAAAAAAACTGTGGATGAAAGAGTTGTTAAAAGGCATAAAGCTGAAGAGAATAGTAACGACAGCGCTGAACCCTTTGAATACCCAGAAGCTTAAGAAAGAAAATGCAGACCAGAGGTTAAAATTGCCAATGGATCATAAGAAACACACTACGATTCGTACATCGATACATAAGAAAGAGTTCAACAATTTAAATATTTGAAAGGAATTGTAAATGACAAAAATACTAGAAGTGAAGGGGTAACAAAGCAAACAATAGCAAGCAGCAAAATATACTGGAGATATTATAGGCTAATGAAGGACAAGAACTTATGCCAAAATACAAAACTGAAATATTCAGAGCTGCAATCAGTTCCATGCGTACATATACAGCTGAGACAATATGCCATACAAATTTGACATAAAAATACTTCGAAGAATTATTACAGAAAGAATAAGAATGAAACATAGAGAAATGAAAAATCACGACGAAAACAAAACGAAAAACGAAAATCAAAACGAAAGAATCACGACGCTTAAGTGGAACTGGGCAGAGCACTTAGCCAAAACACAAGATGGACGGTTACAAGACGTAGTATGGAATGGAGGCCCAGAAACTATAAAAGAAGCCGAGTACGACTACCGACTAGATGGACCGATAATATAAAACGTGTAGCGGGAAACTGGCTACAAGCGGCCCAATGTAGAGAACACTGGAAGGAACTGAGGGAGGCCTATGTCCAGCAGTGGACGCGATTGGCTTAATGATGATGATGATAGAGAAATTAGAAGAAGAATAAACCATGAATTAAGAGACATAATTAAAGGAGAAGATGTAGTGAGATTTAATAAAGCGCAGATATTAAGATAGCTGGGACACAGAAAAAAGGCAAAATGACCTGATTAAGGTCACCAGATAAAAGCGAGAATAGTAACGCAGGAAAAAAAGAGAAAGACACTGAGAGAGATGAGAGGACCAGGTCATGAGAGATATAAAAATCCTGAAAGTAAGAAACTGGAGGGAACTACGTGCAGATTAAAATGAGTGTAAAAAAATTTGTAAGGAAAGCCAAGATATACAACAAACACTGACAATGTATGTATAAGAGTGATTCACCACAAAAAGCCAATCTGCGAGTTCTAAGTAAGAGCGGCAAATATTCCATCAGGAATAAACGCCCTCGATGATGATGATACAATTTGTGTACATTTAAATTACATAAGGAAAAAATTGAAATCAAAATTTAATTTTGAGTACTTACTCTACGCCTAAAGTAGCCAAAAATTTGTTATATCCAGGATTTCCCAAAGGTGAATAGCCAACGACAACTATATCTTTTTTGTGAGCGAAATTCACCAAATCTTTTTGTTGTAGATATACATGAAGTTCAACCTGTAGACAGGCTGGTTGGATTCTGCAAGATTTTAAAATTCTTTCTATCTGTTTTTGAGTAAAGTTTGAGATTCCTATGGACTTCGTTCTGCCCGCGTCCACCTGTTCTTCCATTTTCTAAAAGATATAAAAAGAATGTGAAATAAGTACGGTTTAACAGTTTTTTATTTAGTTTTATTCTGCATATGACAGAAATTTTTTTTTATTTCGACGTTAACGTGCTCGGCTACTATGGCCACTTACACAGGTACTATAACATAAGTTTTCATTACACAAACAATAAGTGTTACATTAAGAATATGTTACAATAATACGGAATGATAATAATATGTTACACAATGTCTAAATTAAAATCTAATTATATTTTTTGATATAAGTGTTCATATCTAAGGAAATGTAGCACAGCTTTTATTTGGTCAGGGTCGTTTAGGATATCTCGTACTTCACTTTTGAGTTTGTATTGTAATCTTCTGGCCGAATATTAATGGCATTCAGTGAGGATATGTTTGATTGTCAAATATGATTGGCAGCTTTGACAGGAGGGACGGATGCTAGAGGACATTAGGTAGCCGTGTATGAGTTTTGAATGTCCTATCCGTAGTCGTCTTATCACAATGAGATCTCGTCTTGACAGGGCTGAATAGTCAAATGTAGGCTGACTGATTATTGACGGTTGTATTTCGTGTAAGATCGAACGGTTAGAGTTCCAATGCTGCTGCCAAAGGAGTCTGGTTCTTCTTTTAGTATATGATTTTAGGTCCTTACAAATTTGAATTTTATCATTACATTACATACAGCAGAGTACATTAGAGCCTGTATTTAGTAGACAGGAGCCTGTGCAATTGATAACGTTTTCTATAGTTTTACCTTTGCCATTAGTGTGGTTTGAGCCCCACATGCAGTTATGAGCATTGAAGTCACCTACTAGAATATATGGAGCGGGGAGCTGATAGATAAGATTTAGAATTTCGATTTCTTTAAGAGGGTAGTTAGGAGGAATGTATACACTGCATATCGTAAGTTTATTTGGACACCAAGTAGTTACGGTGATAGCCTCGAATTCCGTGGTGATAAGGAGATGGGATGAATATATTTCACTGGAAATAAAAATAGATGTCCCACCACTGGCTCTGTTACAATTAGTTCTGATATAATGGTATCCTTTAAACTTTTTTAGTGTGGAAAGCTTAGATATTTTTGAGTTTGTTTCTTGTAGACATATGATATCAGGTTGTTTTTCTGTCAATAGTTGTTGGATTCTTTCAATACGGGGAAAGAACCCATCGCAATTCCATTGGATTAAATTGAAGGTGAAGCTTGAGTTGAAGGGGTAAGGGGCAAGTGAGATGGTTGTTCTGGCTGTTGGGAGAGGAGGGTATTGGTTTCATCATCGGTTAGAAGTTCAGATGAGACGCTGATATTATCAGAGTCATCTGAGTTTAGCTGTCTTTTGATTTTCTTTTGAAGTCTCGTAAGTCGATTTTTAAGGGATCTTTTCTTAGTTTCTGAATGGAGAACTGTTATGTCGTGTAAGAGTCCTTCAATATTTGAAGTGAAAACAAAAGCTTCATTAAGTGGACTAGGATTACCATGTGTATTTTCTAGGAAAGCAATAAACTTTGTCTCGGTCAAAGTTTGACCAGACGGATTATTTTTATAAATGGCCGCTATGGATTGTAGCGAACTAGCTATTAGGTTATGTTCCTCTGATTTTGTAGTTTTTGTTTTTTTCTTGTGAGGTTTGGAGACAGTGTTTGTTTTTGTGGATAACGGAAGAAACATTTGGTTAGACGCTGGTTCGGGTATACTTGCTGAAGATAAAAGAGAAGGAATATCAGAATTGCTGTCTGGTGATATAGCTCTTTTTTGTCCTTGTGTGGGTGGAACTGATGGGTGTATAGTTTCAGTATCTATTTCAGTAGGGGTTTCTGTGCACTTTGGGGTAGTTAGGTCTAATTGAACAGGAGTAATTACGTCAGAAATTATATCAGTGGTTTCAGATGAAGAGGGCTCTAGATGGGGTAGTTCAGTTTGAGAAAAAGAAGTTAGATTATTGGTACATGAGTCAGCGGTATGTCCGACCTCTTTACATAAAAAACAATGCAATTTATTCGTAGAAATAATTATTCTATAAGGAGTGTTTTCGTATGTAATAACAAAGTTACTATCTACTGAAAAGTGGTCCTTATCGGGGATAATATACGTTACTCTTCGGAAGCTCATTATGTGTACATAACCTTCTCCAAGTGCAGCACATTTCACAAATAACACAGGAGAGACCAGCTGTAATCTAATATCTTTAAGGGCTTTCTCAATTATGGAATGTGGAATTGAAGGAGATACGTTAGATATAAGAAGGCGTTTAGCTGGGGTGATAAGTCTTCGGATGGGAACTACTGTAGAGTTGATAGAGATATTTTGATGTGTTTTTAGAAGGTTATTAACAACTGTAGGCGAGGAAAGATAAATACAGATGCGGTTATTTGGGATACGTGATGCAAAGGTAATATTTTTTGGGATAACAATGTCCCTTATAGCTTTAACATAGTCAAACAGTATTTGGAATAGCGTGCATTAAAATGGCTTGCTCCTTACGTGGGAAAGTAGGAGGTGGAGGTTTAGATAAAGTAGCAGCGACATATGATTTCGTGGGGTGGACTTGTGAAGTTATGAGGTTTTGATTTGGGTTCATTTTTGTGAGTGTTCCTGGATACCAAAAACACTTCACTTAATTTTGAATATTGCAACAGACGTCCTAGTAGGACACTGTGGATAAAATAATAGAAATATAACAGTTACCTGTATCTGCAGTTTTCCGTCAGTTGAATATAATAATAAGCTTTGAAAATAAGGCTATTATCGAGCACAAGTTAACTTGTAATAATAGCCTTATTTTCAAAGTTTATTTATTCGAGCATTCAACCTCATTTCATTTATTTTGAATATAATAATATTATAGTCCAATAATAATCGCTGTTTCCATAACACACAAAATATTGCGAATTTTCACATAATTATTATTGGTTCGTAAACTAGTAGACATCGATTATTACCGATAAGGCACGGTAATGTTTACTAGGCTACCTGAGTGGAAATGGCTTCGTATTTTTAACTCGTCAATGAATAAATTTATCTGTTTAACACTGTTTAAATCTTTAAAATCCGTGAGGAAATTTAAAATGCGTGTTTAGACTTTTTCGACAGAAAAATTAACATACAGTTTTTAGTGTTCTATCAAAAACGTATTTAAATTAAATAGCTTTAATAAATAAAAACAAATCAAACTTCCAGAAAGTCAAAATATTAGACATAGTGCTAAACCTTAACAAAACAAAATCATTTCATAATGGGTACATTTTATAAGTAGAAATAATAAGAGTAGTCAAACGTAGTAGTTAAGAGATATACCTCTTTTATTTTAAACGTAGTTTAAGGGGAAGAGACAAATCCTTGCTTATGAGGAGCTTTCTCATATTGCTAAATGCTGCTCTAGCTCGTTCTATTCTTGCCTTAATTTCCGTGGCCTGTTCCCATTTTGCATTTACGTTGGTGCCAAGGTACACATAATATTCCACATGGTCAATTAGTATGTTACTTATCCATAATTGTCGAGCAGGTTGAGGCTCAGGCCGTATTCTTCACTAACTGAATAAATTCTTTCCATTACCTGTTGTAATTCGTCTATGGTACTGGCAAGGATCACCGTGCCGTCGGCATATATTATATTGTTCGTTAACTCGCCGTTTATTTTTGTGCCTTCGTTTGCATTTTCCATACATTTGTTAAATATTTCCTCAGAATACATATTAAATAGGAGTGAGGATAATATACACCACTGACGGACACCTCTTTTGATCTGCACACTTTCAGTGAGTTCGTTGCCAATTTTTGCTCTTGCTGTTTGACCCCAGTATAGATTTGCCACAATTCGAATGTCCTTGTCGTCAATACCTGTCTTTCGCAGAATATCTATCAATTGTTCATGATTGACATTGGTAAATGCTTTTCTAAAATCTACAAAGCACAATTACACGTTCTTATCAACGTCTCTACACCGCTGTATAAGCACCTGGAGAGCAAAAATTGCTTCTCTAGTTCCAAGTGCTTTCCGTAAACCAAAGTGCGATCTATCAATATTTGACTTACATTTATCATTTATTCTTTAGTGGCATGATTAATCAAGCTTATAAGCCGATAGTCATCACAGATCTGGGCATTTGGTTTCTTCGGGATTGTAATAAATGTTTACTGCAGCCAGTTCTCTGGGATTTTACCGCTATTATATATGTTGTTAAAAAGTACAACTAGATTATCAAGGAACTGTTTGTCTGATTTACATAGGATCTTTAATATTTCGCAGGGTACATTGTCCGGATCTGCTGTACATTGTAGGTAGTTACCCATTATTGATTTCAGGAATGATCTACATCTTGTTTTAATTCCTTTGTTTTTTGTTTAATTGTTTTAAGAGAACTTAAGTAGGTATTAAAGTTGTTTTCGGTAATGGATTGGCCAGGAGGACAATAGACCTCAGATAAGGTTAGATTGTCTAGCCAGTCTTCAGAAACAATGCTTGTCTAATGTAAGTACTTGCAACTGGACTTATTTAACTCATAATGTTTCATATTAGATTTGGTAAAAATAATGTCACTATCTGCTTTGTCATTTGGATGTTTTGTGTGATGAACAAAAGTAGTGAAGCCTACTATTATCTCAAAAGTCTGTAATGGGTATGTATGCACATAATTTTTACACAAAGAAATCACTGCACTTCTTTCAACTCTATTATTGACTTTTGCTCTGTTGGTTTATCATTAAACTACCGTAGCACATGTAACAAAGCGTCTAACAACAAGTTTATATGACCAAAATTTGTGACTTCATATTTTGCCTCAGCGGGTCTATATAGCTTTATAAGTTTACGAGATACTTAACCTCTTTCGAAAATGATAATATTGTAGTGTTCATGGTCAGGGATTGAATTATTACTTTGTTTTTAGTAGTAAATCGAACTTTATTAGGATAAAGAACATTTTTAATAGAATTTACTGCAAGTCCTTTAAAATACCAAATAGTTAGTAGATTCATGGCACGTTGCATCGGATCAACAATAATAT